CTCAATAAAACTATGAAATTATATAGGCATGAACATGAATAAGAAATATATGAATCAGCTATATGCTACAAATATCTTATAGCTCAAAAAGGCAAGTCATCTAACTTTAATGTTATATTTTAAACATCATTAACCTAGATGTTTTCCAGTTGATCATCATTTAAGATACAAACACGAAACAGTATAAAAATTCAACAATATGATCTCCCCTTTGACATTATCAAAAAGAGAGGAGGCACAAACAAAAACCAAAACAAACAAAAAAACGTTCCCTGATCTAGTGAAAAAAATAAAAATATTCTTAAAATGAGAAAGTTACCTCTTGGTTTTAATCAAAAACTTAGTAGAATTGGATTGACAACGCGTAGCCCAGAAAAGGTTAGAAATCCAGAATTTGATCATCCAAACTCAAGTTCTTTTAAAAAGGATAAAAAACTTTTTAATTCAATATCTAATTCAAAGAATAAATTAGAGAAAGAAATAGTTATTTTTCAAAACTCCTTCCATAAAATATATCTAATAGAAGATCAATGCACGAATTGTTGAATCAGGAACCAAGATTTTCAAGCACAAGTTTCGAGCATATCAAGGATTTTCTTAAGCTTTTAGTAGTATAAGAAAAATAAGCATATTTTTTTGGTGTGGGCTCATTTTATGTCCTTTATCACTTTAATGGCTCTTTGAGCTTTGATCTGCATATCTATCGCAAAATAAGGTTTCTAAAGTTTTGAGTTTTTTTGAGCAATTTGAAGCGGTGAGTGGTCTTATATTTAACAAAGCCAAAAGTGGGTTTGTGATTTCTAAGAATGTTAATCATAATAGAGTGATGGATATCAAGAACCTTTCGAATTTCTCTCAAGCTGTCTTGCCTTTAAAGTACTTAGGTATTCCGTTGTTCAAAGGTAGAAAGAAAACTTTTCTTTTTGATGACTTAATTTCCAAGGTGCATAATCGTTTGTCTTCTTGGGATTCTAAGTTTTTGAGCTTTGGTGGTAGACTGGTTCTTATTAAAAGTGTTCTTGCTTCGATTCATGTGTATTCTTTTCAAGTACTTTTTCCCCCTAAGAATGTGTGTTTGAGGATTGATAGGATTCTCAACAAATTTTTTTGGAGGGGATTTACTATCAATTCTAAAATTCATTGGTCTTTGTGGGATAAGTGTTGTGGGATTAAATCGGAAGGTGATCTTGGTTGCAAGTCTATGACTGATATGGCTTATGCAATTTCTTTTAAATTGTGGTATAATTTCAGGGCTAATGTTAATTTGTGGGCTAAGTTTATGCAGAATAAATATTGTGGGGTTCATCACCCTTCCCTTTGTATTTCTTCTAAAGGGAATTATAAAGTCTGGCAATTTTTTGTTCAGATTAAATGGAAATTTGAACCATGTTTAGCTTGGGGCATTGGGGAAGGTAATATTTATTTCTGGCAGGATCATTGGATTAATGGGATTTCCATTGATTCTCTTCTGAATACTGTTTCTACGAGTATGGTTAAGGTTAATTTCTTTTTTTCTGATAATGGTTGGGATATGGAGAAGTTATCTTTTGTGGTCCCTCTTTATATTTGCAATTTGATTTCTAAACTTCCTCTTAACCGTATGGCTAAAGATGTTTTACTTTGTACTTTTACTAAAGATGGTATCTTTCGGATTAAAGATGCGTGGCATGTTTTTAGAAATAAAAAAAATCCTATCAGACCTTATAAAATGATGTGGCATAAGAGTATTCCTACTATGGTTTCTGTCTTTAATTGGAGAATTATAAAGAAGTTTATTTCTACTGATGAGCTTCTTAGGAATAGAGGTTTGTTTATTACCTCTAAATGTCAATGTTGCTCTAATGTTGAAAGTTTACAGCATGTTTTTGTGTCTTCCCCTATTGCTATCAAGGTGTGGAATTACTTTGAGGACCTTTTTCGGGTGAATTTCTCGGATACTAATTGTTCGGTGCAGCATATGTTGGAGGGCTGGATGGTGGGTATTAAAGGTCATATTAGAAATGTTATCCCTCTTCTGATTTTTTAGTTTTTGTGGTTGGCTAGAAATGATTCCCATTTTAATGGTAATGTAATGGATCACCAAAGCATTATTTTTAGAGTTAAGGAGAAGGTGAATTCTCTTTTTACTGATATAAGATTTAACAAGGTGTTGTTTACTTTGGAGGCTTTTGGGATTAATTGTGATTCTACTTATAGCAGTCATGGGAATAATTTTGTTGTTTGGTTGAAACCTCTTCTTAATTGTTTTAAACTGAATTTTGATATTTCCCTGGTTGGGAGTAATTGGTGAATTGGTGGATTGATTAGAAACTGTAGTGGGGATTATGTTTTGGGTTTTCCTGGTAAAATTGTGGCAGCTGATAAGCGTGCTGGTATGCTATTGGCTGTCTGCCACGGGCTTAATCTCTGTGCTGGTTTAGATATTCTGAATATTGTGATTGAGTGTAACTTTAATGAGGACCTTAAAGAGTTAATTGAAGGGGAAGGTGGTACTTGTGGGTATTCTTACTTCTATATCCGTAGAAACATCCAGTTTTTTCTTGGCTCTATGAATTTCCATTTTAATGTCATTTTCCCTGTGGTCAATTCTGCTGCTAGGGTGTTAGCTCTGTTTGGCTGTAAGTTTCATGGCATTACTGAGTTATCTTTTAATAACCTCACTGTCCAGATTAAAGGTTTGATTAATTTGGATAAGAGTAGTGTGTCTTATGTTAATGTGCGTTAAGTATCTGTTGTCGGGTTTATTCCTCTATTCTAGGTGCTGTGTTCTGCTGGTTCTGGTTGTTCTGGTGGTTCTGGTGGTTCCTGGGTGGGGAATGCTGGGGATTGATGGTTGTTGTTTCTAGATTGTGTATTCTTACAGGATTCATGGTTGGCTTTTCATGGCTGGGTTCTGGTGGATGGTTGGTTGTTGTTTCTTATCTCTTCTTTTAGCTGGGGTCTCCCTGATTGGCTATTGTTTATTAACTGGGTGTTGTTTCTGCTGAAGTGGTGCGGGTGTTTGTGTAGCAGTTCTACAGTTTTGGAGATGTCTATCTTCTGGGGCGTTGGTTATCCTGGGAGTTGTTTTTTCTATTCCTGTTTATTTTGAGAGAGAGAGAGAGAGAGAGAGAGAGAGAAAGAGAGAGAGAGAGAGAGAGAGAGAGATTGACTAGGCTTCCCAAGATTCCTTTTTTCTTTTGTACTCAGGATAGATTTAGAAGGATATAATGCAATTGTATGATTCCTGAGGATTATATATGATTTTTTTAGTATAGAAAATTATTTTTTTCTGAGGTTTTTATTACTAGTTTTGGTTTTTTCTATTAATATTATGGAAATAAATAGCATTGGTGATGAAATTTAAAAGATAAAGAAATAATTTTTTCAAATTTAATTCTGATGTGTTCTATATATATGCTCGATTTTGGGAATTGGGGATAAACCTTCCTCCACCATTTTTGTTAAAATGGCTTTAGATTCATTAAACGCTTTAATCCAAGCAAATACGTGAATTATAAATTTCCACAAAGGGAGCAAACCCAAGCTTCTCCTTATCTTCAGAGATTAGCTTAGCTTTATCCATTATATTCTTTTCACATAATAATCTAATGATTTTCAAATAGATAAGAACACTAGTTCATGGATTTTCCATGCTTTTACACAAATAAGAGAAGATTGCCTATCTTGATCGTGGAAATAAGCTTTCTAGAGGGAGAAATCAAGAGGAGTTGGTGGAAAAATACGTCTAAGGAAAGAAGAAATTAGATTGAAAAATGGTGCGACATACCTACACATTCGATCAGAGGAAGAAACCATGAACAGAGTGATGGTACAGGCATTTGATTGGGAGGAAGAGAAAAAAATGTAAGGATTGTGTCATGACAAACCTAGGTGTTCACTCCAGCTCTCACAAGGAAGAAACCGCACTATTAGAGTCAAGCAAAGTTAGGTACCTAGCTAGCTCGTAATATTGGTTGAATAGCAGGAGGATGAATAAGCGCTGATTAGTCAATGTTGAATTATTGATGTCTTAATATATTATTGTGTCATAATAAATTTTTTTAAGATATTTAATTAAAAATATCTTAATAATAACGTAGTAAAAAAATAAATTTTTTTGTAGTGACAATTGGAAACATTTCAACCCAGAGATTTTTTTCGTTACTTGAGATTCTACGTTAAAGAAAATCGATGACCATGCCCTAAAATCTTTTTACATTTTTATGAAAAAACAATATTTTTAGATATTTGTTTCTTTTTATATTTATATATTTCAAATTATGCTTCTTATCCTTAATATGTCTTAAACTATGCTCCTAATTAAAAAATTTCCCATGTCCACATGGCCCTTTTATCTTCTCTACACAATCTTTTTCAATGCACTTGCAAAAATGGTTGACAGATCCCCTTCCCAGCACCATAGCCATTTCTCCTCTTGCTCTTAGTGTGTTTAGGGTTATTTGGGATAGTTGCAACTCTTTATAAAGATTATTATAAAATTACTGTGAAGAAATTAATTTTTTAAAAGTTGTAGAAAATAATTTCCTATAATCCTATCATAAAAAATTTATTGAAAGCAATTAAAAAGCAATAACCAAACAAAAATAGTGATTGTATATGTTGAGAAAAGCAATAAAAAAGTTCTCAAATGAAACCAAGTCCCCTTTATTTCTACAACCTGCTGTTCAATTAATAATGAGACGCATCAGCATAGTCAAGACATGTTTGGCAAATCTAATAAAAACTAAACCAATTCTTGTTAATATTCCTTTTGAGATCGATTAGCGATAAATTATAAATTATGAATCTTAAATTTATAAATTTAAAAAAATCATCTCATCTTTTAACCATTATGTCAAGAATCCTTCCATAACTCTCCAAGATTTAGGGTATCAAAAAAAAAATTAAGAAGGCAAAAGGGCTCTCATCTTTCCTTAAAATTAGCACAAATTTAGTTTACTCCATCATTCACAAGAACTTCAAAAAAAAATGAAGACTAATTTTTATTAAAATTGTATAATATTGCATACGACTACAGCATTCACAAGAACTTCAAAAAATAATGAAGAAGAATTTTTTATTGAAATTGTGTAATATTGTGGACTAGTGCAGCATTAACAAGAACTTCGAAGAATAAAGGAGAAGAAACCTCATAGAGTGAAAATCCCCGATTGTACGATCCTAAGGCCGAACATAGGGATATTATTGTACCTAGCGGAGACTTTTCGTAAGTATTGCATGGCACTCAACTCAATAAGCTTTGCAGGGTCGATGTTACATCTGAAAATCTGCCTTTCAAAGCACTGTCGAAGAGCTTCTAGGACCTCTGGTTTTTTAGCGGAAGCTCCGGCGAGCACTATCTCATCCACGGCTTCTCGCCTGACTCCGGCTTGCATCAAGCACATTATGATTCCGATGTGAAGATGCCTAAGATTCAGCAACACCAACAATTCTCGAGTAATCCGTATTGGCACCTTCCTGCCTTGTTGCTCAAACTCAAGGTCCACACCAGCCATGCCCGAACAGATGGAGTCCTTGGCGCGTTCGCAGGACTCTCCGATGCAACGGAGAGCGGTAGCGTCGCCGCTGATGTCGATTCCAAGCTTCCGTTGTATCTCTGAAACCATGTAGTTTAAGAGTGGGCAGCCCAAGTCGGAAACGGCAGCCTTCACTTTTAGATTCTCATCTTCGGTGAGCAAAGAGACTTCGAAGATGTGAACGTCGAGGTCAAATACGAGGATGGTTCTGTGGCCTGGGGTGAGAGATTTGTAATAGGAGGCGGCAAGAACCGGAGCTTCGATGAAAAAGAGAATGTTCAGTCCGGCAGCAGTGGCGGCGGCGGAGAGTTGTGATTGATAGCGGGAGGTGTTGCTGCTAGCGGGGATGATGGCGACGAAGTTTTGGGCTCGGTGGCCGAGGCGTTCCATGGCGGCTTTCCTATCTTGGAAATGTAAGGTGAGGATATCTATGAGGGAAAGGAAAGTTGGCGGGTGATTGGGTCGTGTGAACGGGAAACGGATAATGCTGCCGGGGAGAAGATGTTGCCGTAAAATGTTGATGCGGCGGACCAGCCAGACGTTGCCGGAGAAGGAGTGTAGGTGGACGAGGCAATTGCCGGAACAGGGGATTTGAGCAGGAGGTTCCATGGAGGGTTTCTTCTTCTTCGCTTCTTGGATGCTAGGCTTCTTGGCTCAGGAGAAGAGGAAATTGCTGGTTTTTCCAATCGGTGTTGTTTTAGCGGGGAATGCAACTTCGTTTGATTTACGAGCTTTTGAACCCTCATTATATAGAAGGGAGATTTATATTAATGCAACTATATATATATATACCTACCCACTAGCCTACGCATTAGTATAAAAAAAATGTATAAGATCTTTAAAGAGACCTCCAACCCCCTACTCCTCAAAAGAGCTACCAAAAAGGTCCAAAAAAATCCTATGAGCAAAATTACAATGCCAAAACAGAAACCAAGATTAGGGCGGCTATTAGTCCACTTCCAAAAATTAAGATGCACTGAATAAACATTTAGTTCAAAATTGCCACCGGAAGGAAGAATCATCAACCCAAATATAAGTTTAGTAAACATTTGCAATAAAGAGCTGCAGCAGAAAACGGCAGAGCGACCATCAATAAGACCTATAGAAAAACCATCCATAATACAAAACACAACGGACTGCCAACATAAATTAGTGGTTTGCAATTAGAATAGCTACAAGGGATAAAAACCAAGAAGCATACCATACAACATAGGCATCATACCAGAGTTGTGAGTATAGAAATTATAGGATAATCTAACTAATTGATACCAAAAAAACAATAACCCACGCAAATACAAGCAAGTCATGGAAAAGTGGGAAACCCGCAGCAAGAGCTGCAGACCACAAGCGACCCCTCCCCAAACTCCCCATACTAAAAAGAAAAAACCATGCATGTCACTAAACAAATAGCCACCGAAATCAAAAACCACCAAAGCAGCAGCAAGAATAACACCAAATTAATGGGATCCGATATAAGGTAAAACAGTAAGATCCAAGACCACGAAACCTTTAACAATTTTAGGGATATGAACCTCATGAAATTCAATGAAATGGAGAATAGTCCAACCAATTTTAGCGAGCATCCGCACACATATTTCCTTACGCAATGTTTTGTAAATCTGGACAAAATTGGTCTTCCTTATATTAGATCGAGCTGATTTTATGTTTTTGAGTTTTTTAGTGTTTGTTTTTGTTATTCTGGGTTTCAAGTTGGTTGGTCTTCGGCTCTTAAGAACATTTCCTTCTGTTCCTTGGAGCTAGATTATTTCGTTCTTCTTATTCTATTATGTCTGTGCTATGATCTGGATTCTTTGGTTTATCTATAGAGTCATTATTTCTACTGTTATGAACTTCTCTTCTGTTTTTGGTGTCATGAGGTTGCTGCTTTGCGGATCTCTGTTTTAAGTGTTTTGGGATCTGGAATTTAGAGTTGTTGATACAGTTCTGGTTTTGTATTTTTGCTTGGGATAGGGATATCTGTAGACTGATTAGGATCCAGTGGGGTTTTCGGGTTACCTGAAGTTGGCATTGTGTTGTTAAATATTGATGCCGTAATATTTGGTATAATTCTGTGAATTTGAGAAAGGATAGTCATCAGATCTTTATTTGTTGTACCTGGGTGAACCTGGGGCTGCTGGGTTACTTCCTCTACAAGACCAGTTTAAATTTCAAGTTTAGCTTTAGTTTTAAATGCTATATTACTGATTTGGGTCTTTGGAGAATTTCTTGCAGGAACATTTTATATTTTAGAGACTTAATTAAGTGCAAGGTAATTCTTGTTGGTTGCTTTTATTTCTTTTTTTTTTTGTTAATATTCAGTTTTGCAAGAAGATGGCGCTGAACGAGACAATTATGATCTTCCTTTTTTGGGTGTCGTCTGCTTACAGCCCGATCTCTTTTTTATGCATTTCATGTAATTTTAGGAAAAGAAACAACTGTCTCATAGGTTTTATTTCTTTTTTTTCTGTAGCTCATTCGAGCACTAGAGAGCTGGAGGTTTCTTCTAAAGATGATGTATCCAAAATTTTGAAATTAACACATAGGCCCCACAGAGGGTTTTAACAAAAAAAAAATTGTAAACAACTAACTTGTTGGAACTGGTAGAGGAACTTGAAAAGAATACTCAATATTTTAATAAAAACTTTAGTGAAAATAATGAAATCAACATTAGAACAAAGATTAGAGAAAAAAAACCCCTATAGGTACAAAAAATAAGAGAAGGATGTAAAACAAAAAGCTTCTCCAAACCTCTAGAAAGGTATTCCATAGCAATTATAAAAAGGGCCAGAGATAGGCAGTCTCCTTATCTAACACCATGAGTAGAAGTTAAAAAACCATGACTACTCCCATTAATGATAACAGAAAAATAACAATTATTAATAATATTCTTCACTAGATTAAAAAACTCCTTAAAAAAATCGAACTAAACAAGAATAGTATTAAGAAATTTCAATTTAAATTGTCATAAGCTTTGGTATTGTTAATCTTAATAACCATGTTACCACCATAAACGAGTTTGTGAATATCATGCACCAATTCTTGAGCTAGAAGAATATTATTAAAAATAGAATGGACTTTAACAAAACCAGTTTGCCCAAGGGAAATAATTTTAGGATGCATTAAAGCCAATCTCCCCATAATGATTTTATAAATAAATGTAATAAAAAATTAGTATAATAAAATAGGTTTGAAATCATCCTAGTAGTTAATAGATCCTCTTTTAGGCACCAGAATAATAGTATTATTAGAAAAATACTTGGGATAAGGTTTAAATATAAAAGAAATCTAAATTATCCACCACCAAATCCTTTTTAAAAGTGTTCCAGCCCTTTTGAAAAAAATTGGTAGTGAAACCATCAGGGCCCACAATAGAATCAGAATTCATTTTATTAATAGTTTCCCAAATTTCCTCCTTGAAAGGGCTGGTAGTTAAGACAGAATTATCATTCTCATCAATTAGCTAGGGTATGAGAGATTTATTAATATCTATTTAATAAATGAAATCCTTGTTAAAAATATAATAAAATTGTCAACACTTGAAGCATAAATCATATTAGGAGAATTTAAAACTATACCATTAAGATGAGTCATTTTAAGAATATGGCTACAAACCTTTTTGTGATTATTAATAATGTGAAAAAAAAATTTAGTGTTCGTATCACCTTCAACTAAGAATTTAAAGGAGCTTGTTGTTTCTAAGAAGCCTCTTCCTTTTCTTGTAATTTAAATAATATACATGGCGATAGAGTTAGCAAAATTCCCATCTCAATATTTTACATATATCTAGCACACAAACATAAAAGAAAAAGAAATACCAAGATTTTTATGTGGAAAACCCTGGAAAGGAAAAAAATCACGAGGTCTCGTCTAGTTGAAAAAGTTCCACTAGTCTTAGTTTGAGATACAAGAGGCTATCTCATCCTTGAAATTTAGGACGAAAAGATTACAATGAAATACTTATAGATTGAAATCCAATTACAACGTCGGGCAGAATTCTAGCATCACTTGGGGATCAGGTGGAATTCTGGCATAATTGGAACATCATGTAAAATTTTGGCGTTACTCGGGTGTCAAGAAAAACTCCGACGTCACTCGGGCGTCGAGAAAAACTTCGGCGTCACTCTTGCATCAAGCAGGACTCCAGCGTCACTCGGACTTCGGGCAAAATTCTTCTCTCCAATCCTTCTCTTCTTCTTCTTCTTCTTCTCTTCTTGCTTGGGTCCACTCTCAGAAAAATGAGGGATCTATTTATAGATATTCTAGAGTGGCATGACTTGTAAAAAGGTGAGAGATCAAGGGGTAAATAGGGAGTGGTCGGATGGACGGCCGATATTGGATCCATTGATTGTGCACCATTTGTTAAACATTTCAAGGTCTTAATGATGTCATAATTAATAGATCTTGGGCTCGTTGGATTCATCTCAACGAGGCGCCTGATTTGAATATAAGAACATCATATTTGAAAACTGTTTGGTAACTCAAATATGGTTTAAACTTTTCAACAGCATTTCGGGTGCTTGATTTGGCTCATTTGGGCATGTATTGAGTCGAATTTGGTGTCGTTGAGTTTGTATTTTTGATGCGCTCAGTTTGACTTTAAGTACGCTGAAATTGGAGTCCAAAAACATTTCAAAAAATTTTGAAAAAATTCAAAAAAAATTGGAAATTTTGAAAATGCTAGAAAACTCTAGAAACTTCTTTCTTCTCCCAAAAAAACAATAAATAGAGCCCTAGGGCCAAGGCAAAAACTGCACTTTTTCCTCTTATCCTTCTAGCATTTTGACAGTTGAGGCTTTCCATTATTTTTCAATAGGTGACTTTCCCTAATTGACTCAGCGCCCCTCCTCTTGTACAGAAGTTGGAGACTTCCCCTCCTTTTCCTTCTTTCTCCCCCATTTTTCTTCCTACTCTAGAGGATTTTCACTATCTTTCATAGGTGACTTTTCCTACTCAAATTTATTACCCCTCTTTAGTAAAGGAGTTGAAATAGGTGATCATACATCCACAAGAAATTTCCACGCCTAAGAAGGTCACCTTGTTGCCCGATCTGATGGTTCAAAGAAGACTCACAAGGCGCCAAAGGTTGATGATGTTATTTCTATCATCACCGATGATTCTTTCATCTCCTTTAAGAAAAATTTTCATTTTCCTAATGATCTGGTGATGATGATGTCGATAAGATCTGATCGTCCACGTTTTCCTACCTAGGGATAAGTGACTATGTATGAACGATGGGGCTGCGGTTTCCACCATCTCCTGAATTGATTGACATTCTAATGGTCTGTGGAGTGAGTTTTCTCAATTTTCTTACAAGGACATGTCGATCGTAATGGACCTTATCATGCTTTTCAGAGACCATGGAGAGGTGCTATATTCAGAATGCCTTTCTCAGATGGGGTATCTCATTAGTGATACGCAGGGTCGTATCTCTTTCAGATCCAAGTGGTTGGATATTTGTACTCGAGACCCATCGAAAGGTTGGATTAGTGACTTCTTTTATGTGCAAAATGATTGGAACCTTCAAAAAAAAAGAGAAAAGTTGAAGGAGTTACCCGTCACCCTTCATAATGGAGCAGAAGATTTATTGAAGATACTCAAGCTTCCTGATATCGATGCCCTACATTATGAGGTGCGTTATTTGAGCAGATATATAGATGAAGAATACTTGTTCAAGGTGGGATTATCTACTCAAGAAGGAAGATCGCATGCACAAATGTTAAAGAGATCTGTGAAAGTTTCAG